ATGAATTCTCCATCTTCCGCTTGAATTTGCTTCGACATTCCAGTCTTCATTTTGCTCCTTATCCAAATGGGTAACCAAAAGACAGCAACTAGAACCGGCGCACGAACGTGCATGGTTAATGGTTGTGAAACTGAAACTGAAACAGACGACTGATAATGGCCACGGCCAATCGAGCGTTCGGATTTCTTCCGGCAGTATGCTCACAAAGTGTGCAACCAGCATTGAGAATTGCCTCCAGTACGATGTCCATGCTAAAAAGTAAGGAAGGAAAGCTCGTCTCCTCATCCTTTCGGCGAACAAGGGGCATGTATCATGGAGGCGTTCCGTAGTACATTTAAAATTCTTTTCTGAAAAAGGGCTCCATCCAACGCTCATCCATGGCGTGCTTAAATGCTGTCACACTTCCTAAATCTACTAAATTCTTTGGCAACCGGTTCCAACTGTGTACTACTCTTATCTTAAAGGTCGGACGGGTTAGTCTCCTGGTCCTCTGGGTTGGTAGGATCGACTCGTTCTGGCGTCCCAATGTGCATCAGAGGCGGAATTCTGTATAAGCCTCATCACCATTTATTCAGTGTATGCATTTATGCCGGAACAACGTACAGCATTTCTCGAAGAAGTTATTCGCGGTTCCTCTTGAATACGCTATTCTTAACCTCGGGGTGGTGGTGGTGGCGCAGTGGTTTAGTCGCTGACACCGGTGTGCTTTGGATCCTATGATCCGAGGTTCGAACCCNCGACCCCCGCCACTACCACCCGAATTTGATGGTAGGCAGCTCTGCTGTCGTCCAGTTCAATACCACGCCTAACCTATCGGGGCCTTATGTGGTTCACCACTCCAGGTCCCGGGGCTTAGGTTACCGGTTTCCATCACTGAACAGCAGGTTTTCGTGACTATGGGGTTCGCTCCGTCAGCTGTTCATCTCACTCATGTGTATAATGAAATCGATCGAAGGAGCATTCAATAAGTTGGCTACCCTGCGCGAGTCCGTGCGTAAGCTTATGGCCACGCGTCCGATCCTGCCCGCAAAGAGGGAAACACTCCCGAAGCTCTGGGCTCGTATCATCACGCCGCACGCAAATAATGCCACCACAACCGCTTTGGTATGCCTCTGGAAACAGTCCCCTGGCCTGTTATCACAGCGTAGCAGCACCCACGTAATAGTGCACTAAGCTGAGTGGTGGCGGGTTGGACTCTTTCAAACTTTTGCAGTTCTGCCATTGCATGAATAGACGCCGGAATTCGCTAACTCCAAACGAGGTCTGACGTGTAAGATGTACATCAAACTAAAAGTGTTGTATGGAAATTTGGAAAAAGAACGACTTTTGGCTCCGAGGATTTTCCAACCGGAGGTATTGGCTTTATCTGTCTCCTTCCCGGTTTTGATCTACGACGAAATCAGTACTCCAATATCCCGTTCTCAGGCAGATGCCAGGAAGGGAGTATTCAGGTGTAAACTCTTGGGCTGCGGGACCGGCGTTAGTTAAGAACTCCAATCCTTTTGCTACTTGGTTGCTGGACACCGTCGGTATGTACACCCTCCATCGAATATCACTCAGCATTTTACCGGCTATCGATTTTTTAGCGGTTTTTACACACCGTGCCGCTGCCTTGCGGGTCAGACTTTGGCCAACCGAAGGCTCCGGTTGTCGATTCCCCAAAAACCTTCTGCCTTGGTCTGGGTAACCTGGCAGTATTCAGTCCATCTGCAAATCATAGAGCATTTTTCTTTTTTTATAAAGATTATTTTACCAGGATTCGCTTGGCACAAAATCTGGATTCAGACGTGTGAAATATATGAAATATAATAACGTCAATTTATGTGCACTTGTGGTACTCGCTATATGGAAAACACAAGGTGGTTGGTTGTCCGAGAGAGTATTTGAGTATTGTCCGGTCACTCTTCAATAAGCAACAGTGAAACGTTTGAACAGTCCCATCCTGCAACATCAGGTCGACAGTGGACACAAGATTGATCCAGGAACATCATTTACAAGTTTCCTCATTGCACTTGAGAACCACATCAAAGAATTACGTATCTATTACTGTATCTCGCTGTACGATGATGATGATGTTACCATGACCATAGAATTGATTACCCTATATTCCTATGTGCCACCTTTCCCTTTTTCTTGTTTTTCTCATTCACTGCCCTTTACTCACCTGTCTCATTCATCCTTGACCGACAGATTTCACATCGCGTCCACTTCACACACTTTTTACTCGGCTTTTCTCCATCCGATTATCGTGATCCCATAGCTTGTTGTCAACCGAAAAGTTTGCACACAGACGTTTATTGAACATCTGCTTTGGCCTTTTAATAATCTACTCATTATTCGAACTATTTGTGTGAATGCCTGAAGCGAATAGAACGAATTCAGTAAATTTGTCGCACAGTTTGACATTTTTGTGCATTTCAGCCGAAACCAGCTACTATATCCGTCTACACGGCAGACATGTTTTGCAGTGATTGACTTGATAAACATCTAAGTCCCGAAGCTTCACCATTCACAAACGGGAATTTGATCGAAAAGTTTGCTTTCAGACTTACCGTACGGTAAAATCTCTACTGTGCACTGATTCGCAAGTCGAGCTGCATCTACCAACGTATAAGAGGGCGATTCGGAAGAAAGACCTCTTACGGTTACTAGCGCTGCTAGGCCAAGAACGAATGGCTTTATATACAGTAGAGAATAAACAGGTAATATATACTCCACCTCCAAGCAACAGCATTTTAAACTCCATTTGGTGAAAACCATTTTGCATTGACGTTCATTGTTGTCCAGAATCTTTTTTTATGTATTTGGTCCAAGCGTTCTGGCATTCTTGCAAAGTCCAGATTGCGCCTTCCCACCACCAATGTTCGCTCCGCATATTCAGTCCCCACTTGTGTTTCAGTTAAACTTCTATTAAGTTTGATGTGTAATCGTGATTTGAGTGCGTTGTTCGAAAGTACAGTCTTTTCTTTTTGGCCTCCGACAGTCTCGTCGCGAATATCGTCCTCTGGAACCGTGACATAAACATTGAACTATCACACAAAGAATAGCTCAATCATTCACGGTACATGCTTCTGACCGAGGCAAACATTTTCTGGTTATCAGTTGATAATGGCCGACCACACTCTCGAGTTTAACGAAATGCTCACCAGTCACATATTCCCCTCACTCAGGGATTTTCGAGCGCAGCTGGAACGATTTCAACGGGTAAGTATGTGTTCGGACTATTCGGAGCAAGATTTTCCCTTTTTCTCTCTCTCTAGGAAACAAACACACGATTCACGGTGCGTTCGAGCAAAAGATGTCACTCGTTGCCAGCCATTCGTTATTCAATGATGCGTTACACGTGTCACCTAAACACTCCACGTCGCCACTCGAAATCTGTCGGTTTGCGTCGCTCCTCGTAGGTTATGACGTTTCACTCTTACCGGAATTTTCCTGCACTTTTTTGTTTGCCCCGTTCTTGTGTGCAGAAAAAAAGGTGTCGGTTGTCCAGCACGATTTTTTGTTGTCGGAAAGGCCGATGGGATACGGGTGACCAGTTGCAAACTGAAGCACAATCACAACGTGCAATTGTCGGTCGAGCGTGACCGGGTCCGGAAACAGCTTACTCAGAACGAGAAAGCCAATATGCGTTTGCTTCTGCAACACGCGTTCCCTCCGGCCGTTATCAAAACCTATATTCAAGAGACTACCGGGAAAAGTATCACCAATCAAGATGTGTGTAATATGCGATTGGATACCTGCTGTGATCAAGCTTCCTTTTCACCGTCGTCGTCGTCCTCCTCATCCTCATCTTCCATGTCGGACGATCAGCTTTGTTGACATTCTGCACGCAGCCGCATTGTTCATTTCGTGTCCGGATTATTAATACCAAACGTTCAGGTTAGTGGTAATTCTGCAATACGAATTGATATGATATTCCATTTTCCCCCGTAACTGACTAAACCCGTTTTTATAGGACTGTATGATTTCATCTAATCTCTTTCTCGAGTTGATGAACCATCTCGTGTTTTCGTAGCTGAAATGGTGACAGTGTCGATGTGATATTTACCTGACTGTCAGGCAATAAAATTCTCCTCCGGTAGAGGGACCTGTCGTATTAAATACGAAGAATCTAGTTAGTGTTGATTAGCTCCATTTTCTCTCTAGTGCCACTATCTTTACTCTAAATGACGGCTTATATCCTGCTTTCAGCTGCCAAAGTTAGCGACATAAATTTTTCCCATTAGGTTTCCCCTGCTTATTGATCACCCTCGGTTCATGCAAGACGGTTAAAGGTACTGATTTTGCTATTTGCTTTACCTCGTACAGGTGCAAAAGCACTGGCAGCTCTTCTCTCACACTCCTGGCTTGGATGATGAAATTGTGTAACATATTTCGATGTCCTGTTCGACATCAATATCTTTGACGTCACCCCGTGGTCTGTCTGAAAAGTAGTGTGCTATAGCGCCGTAGTTCACCCACTGTTGCACAGCGACTATGCACTCCGGTCAGTCATCATCATCATCGTACTGCGAGATACAGTGAAGCGAACTTCACTGATCACTGCCAAGCTCACAATATACATAAATCAAGTGATAAAGCACAAAATGGAGATGGATTGGGCCTAATTGGAGGGAGGCGAAGAAAGTGAACCTCTATGGTTAACACACAGAGTGCACATATATACGTTTTCAAGCATTCTGACCTGTTAATAAATGACAACAAGAACGCCACTGCTGTCGGTTCGCTGCCATATCCTTAAGTATCTCCGACCAACTAGTTACAGAGTCTTTTGGGCCCCAACTTGGAAGACTGGAGACACCTATTCTATCTAATCGCTCTGTGCATGCCTCGTTTCCACGTCATTTGTTGACCTCCGCGCGATTTCTGTCAACTTGGAGCCGAGACTAAGAATAAGGCGCGGTGAGGTAGATGATGGCTAGGCACACGCAATACGTGTCCTAACCAGTGAAGCCCACTAATCTGAATACGATGAGATAACGAATTCTGCATTGAATCATTACCAACTACGCGACGCCTTACCTCCGAGTTGCTTACACGCTCGCTCCATCCAACCCGCGCCAAACCACGTAAACATCGGCAGCCGAAGACTCCTAGGTGACGAATATCTTCCACGCGCAAATTTAGGATCTCGCAACCATAGAGCAGAACTGAACGCACACTGGGACGGTATACACGACCTTTCAGTTTCGACGAAACATCGCGTCTGCGCTAAAGGTTTTTCAGTCCTGCGTAAGCTGTTCAAGCCTTGGAACTGCGGGCGGTCACTTCATTGACTACGCTACCGTCATTCGTTACGTTATCTAGATAGGAGGAACACTCCACTATAGTTAATTCTTGACCATCAAGCATCAGTGCTGGGGTAGATGACACCCAGTCTTGTAGCATCACTTTGCACTTTGAAGGTGCAAAGTGCATACCGAATGAAGTTACAGCACTTGAAAGTTTGACAAGAGGGCTTTGCGCATCCTCCATACATTCGAACAGACAATATTTTATCAGCCTTCACTCATCCATTACACACAGAACACTTCTGTAACTAGATGTCGTTACAAACTGGTGTGTACTTGTACCACTGTCTATCGTTTGTCCGTCATCCCTTATCTTTCGAGATTTCTGGCTCAAAAGGCATCCGTTAGAGAAAACTTTTTGAATTACCTACCCAGTTGATATTCATTTTCAAACTTTTGCTCCACATTCCCTTGAATTTACGATACTGTTTTTCTTACATTTTCTTTGTGATTGTATGCGATAATAAATGTTTCTGGAGTACAAGAAGATGATAATCCATCCATTAGGATTAAAAAGTGATTTTTGACTTGAAACGCTGTCATCCGCGTACTATAATTTGCACCGCTTTTCTCCGGCTGCCCATTCAATAAAAACATTTTGGGGACCAATTTAGTGCTTTCCCCAGTATTTCGTCTACGACGAAATTGAACAAGAATGGAGAAATAGGACACCCTTAACGAACACCGCTTCGAACCGTTCACTTAGCCCACCGTAGACCGTCACCAGAAGTATGCAGGTATATCGACCGCAATAGGTTTACATCCGCAGCATTACTCCGCGTAGCAGCGACCCCATAAGAGCTTGACAGTCAACTGAGTCGAGGGCTCCTTTTCGATCAAGGAACACCGGTCAGTTTGAGATATGCACCGACCAACCGGTCGCTACAACTATTCATCGCACGTTGACACTGGCACTGCCGTGACGTAGTTCGAACATTATTTGAATATGATTACGTTTCGTTGATGTGTATGTGTGTCTTACTTCACCCGTTACGATGTTTTGCGGAAGTCCATTCATCGGTTACCTGATCGTATCCTATTCGTGTTCGCGAGACCAGAGTGAAAGCGAAAACGAGAACTGATAACGCGCAGGAAGAAGGTGAAGCAAAAACGACATTGATGTCAGTGTTTGGAGATGTTGGTGAATGTGTTCCGTTCCGTTCCGTGCATACGACTGTCAATCTTGCGCTTTCGCGCTGCGGTTTGTTTGTTGTCTTTCAGCTGCCCGTTTGGTGCGGATGAAAGAATTGGAAAGCTGAAAACAGACATTGGCAAAGGTAAACAGTGCAACTAAAATGATAAATAAAGTACAGTAGCGACACTGTTTGTGGCACTTAGTATCCACCAGCACCGATTCGACTATTGATTAAATAATACAAACAGATTTAGGACAGGAGGAGCGGCTGATCAAAAAGGCTGGCACACGGTTCATGGAAAAACCTAAACGAAGCTGGTGGAATTTCCCGAAGCCCATGACCAGTTTCTCGGTTATTTTCCAATCCTCAACTGGGCACGACTGGTACTGTGTCATCCAATCATTCATCGTCACACGGTAGTCGTAATTAAGTGGTTACAAGTTTATCAAGTTAGTGACCCTGAAAACCCGGGTTCGAACGGCTCCATCGCTGTCCATCTTCCGCCATTTCTGCATATTTCTAGGAAGCCTTTGTGTGACCGCGGCCCCCTCGTCTCATTTGTGCTCAAATCCCTCTCCCTGCCTATAAATGCTGTTATCAGTTTGGCACTATGCTTGTTCGCGATCATCAAACATCTTTTTTTCGCTTATCTTTTTTTCAGATTGCGCGATACACAAACCGGTTCTGTTGAGTCCCTTCGAGTGCATTTCTCACGGTATCCACCTCCTCTTCATCATCTTCATCATCATTGTGCCAATGTAACCGTGTAGCCTTGATTAGGGCTGAAGCTTTTGTCGGTCCGTCTTCGGGCCACGGATTAGATTTACACGTTTTTCAATTCACCCGCTCACCCCCACGCTATACTTCGAATTCCAGTCCACAGTGTATAAACAAACCCAGTGAATGATGTGAAAAGAATGCCCGTTCGTGTTTTTTGTACAGCTGTTCAAATTCAATGTAACAGAAAGTAAAAATCGATTAACTTGCGCAAATTTTCGACAGTTGAACCCAGTTTTCTTTATGATATACATATGGGGTGCAAAATTTGGATTGTCGAAACCAAGGTCTATTCCGATGGCGGCATCTGGACAGGACGAATACATTTTTAGGACCAGGTGTAGTATTGTGCTTAACAAAGGATCTTTGTACTTGTACACGTGTCATCGGAGCGGCATATTGTATCTACTGGCGTAGTCCTTTCAGTTCAGTGGGTACCACACGGAATTAGGCACTTCAAATCACTTTTTCCAACCGCTAATTATGCTTCCGCGTGCGCCGGTTTTGGTTGCTGTCTTTAGAATGCTCATTTGGCTTAAAGAGCAGAATGAAGATTAGAATGTTGAGAGCAGATTCCAAGATAAAACGGAGAATTTAAATAGGACGGGTTGCAAGAATAATGAGTAAATGCTTGAGTGAAACTATTTTCGACATACGGCCATATCACCGGTTAGTATAATTTCAGGGAGCTGGGGAGCCTAACGGGACCTTTGTGACCCAATCTCCTGGTCAGGGTTTTCATATTCTTTGTTTGACCACCGTTGACCTTTTCCCAACCGCTCCCTTCCTCGGCAAATATCGTTCGCCGTGGCAACCTTTTTGGTGACATGTGTAGTTGAATTGTATCTTCTTTAGTATTCTGACGTGTTTACTACCGGTTGTTTCCAGTGAGACGTCTCAGCCACGATAATTTATTTTTATGTTTAATCTGGTCTAAATTTGAGGAGATTGCAGTACCAACCTTGAAATTACACAATCAGCTGTTTAGCCACCGTAAGTGGTGTTCACTTCAGTGCGTTCGAGCAGAGACTTAGTTCTACGGTTATTGCATTTCCTTTCGGTTCAGTTCCGTTTGAACAACCATTAACCATGCGGTTTCGTACGCCCAATTGGTTGCTCGCTGTTGGCTGCCCATTTGGATGAGCAGTAGGAGAAGGACAAGAAAGTTGAAGGAATAGAGTCGAATAGAAAATAGAGTACTTCATTGGACTAATGTAGCAAACACTGAGAATATTAACGAACGCCATATCATCGAGTGTCTCTAACCATCGGTTACACTCATCCTGAGCCATCCCCAGCCAGGGAGCCTAACGGGACTTATGTGATCCAGTCCCCCGGATTAGGGTTTTTATGCCCTCGTGTCAGGTCTTAGATTGACCACTCCTGGTTTCCTTTTACCCACTGTCTGCCTCGGCAAACATCGCTCACCGTGGCAACCTATCTGGTGACATGCAAAGATTTATTATGGGAATAACTTACAAGCTCATGCTTTTCTGGTCCCATAGGTTCGTGCGGTGGAGTAAGAAACGGTGATACATACAAATCCTTTTTGGTAAACTGTCACGTGATACGTGCGTTTTCCACTGCTTTATGCAGCTTCACTTATGTTGGAACGTAAGATGTGCTAGTGTTTCATCGAGCCTCAGTTTGATGTCGCGTGATATGTTCGTTCTCCACTGCTTCACGCAGCTTCACTTATGTTGGAACGTAAGATGTGCTAGTGTTTCATCGAACCTCAGTTTGAAAGACTCAATGCTTGGAGCACAGACGACGTAGGATGGTAGAGAGTTCCAGATCGAACACACTCTGACTGCGAATGACTGATGCCGGCATTCCAAGCGGCATTTTGAGACCACTAGTTTAAGTGGGTGTCCTCTAAGATGAACGTTGGGTGATAATTTCAGAAGCGGGCGACACGGATGGCTTGGGTTTTGCATTACGTGGTATACCATAATCATATCTCCTCTGATGCGCCGGTAATGATTGGAATATGACTTCAGTCTATCTGCGTATGAAAACCGATTCAACCCCCTGGCCATTTTTGTGGCCATCGTTTGTGGATGCTCCAGCATCTTGCAATCACGCTGTAGCCATGGCTTCCAGGCCTGGATAGCGTAATCTGTGAGTGGTCGAATGTATGCTGATAGTAGGTGGGGGAATAAAGCTGACTCAGATCGGCCGAAGACGCGCTTAAGCAAGCCGACATTCTTTACAGCTGCGTTGGACACCTTGGTGCAGTTGTGTAAGCAGCTTAAGTTTTCTTGAATGATGATACCCAGGTCCTTCTCACTTGTGGCGTGTGACAGCTGTTCGTTTCCGAGGAAATATGAAAATCTCCCCCTGTGCCGTAGGGATAGAACCTTGCATTTTGGCACAATGAATTCTATATGGTTCATAAGGGACCAGAGATGAGCTGCATTCAACGTTTCTTGGAGTGTCAGTGAGCCCGTTGGTTGCGTTACTGTATTCCAAATTTTGGCGTCATCTGCGAACAGTAATGATTTTGGCCCCAGAGCCTTCGGTAGATCGTTTATGAACGTTAGGAAGAGTCGCGGGCCANGTAACGTCCATAGGACTGGAAAGCGAATCAGCAACACGAACCGATACGGTTCGATGTCGGAGAAATGCTTTGATCCGGCCAAGTGCGAGGCCTCGAATACCGTGGTTATAGAGTTTCCTCAGTAGAATGTCGTGATTTACCCGATCGAAAGCTTTTGAGAAGTCAAGATAAATTACGTCCACCGCGTCACCATCATCAACTGCTCTTGTCCATTCTTCTCGTGCGATCAGCAAATTGGTAGCGCAGGATCGCTTCTGTCGGAATCCATATTGATTTGGTGACAAAACATTGTGCTTCTCTAGGTGTTCCATCAGCGAATCTGCTACTATGGACTCCATGACTTTGGACAGCACAGGAAGGAGGGTTACAGGGCGGTAGTTAGCGGGATCGCNTATAAATAGGTGAAATTACTCCCTGCTTCCATGACGGTGGGATTGTGGTGTAATCGAGCATCCTCTGGAGTAGGAAGGCTAGTGGCTCGGATATTTGATTCGTCAAGCAGATAAGGGTTCGGGGGTGAATATTGTCTGCACCTGGCGATGCATTCTTCCTCAGGGCCAATAGCTTTGTTTTAACCTTTTCGGCAGTGAATGATACGGTGGTTAATGAAGGATGTTGAATTTGTTGCATCCTACGAGGGCGGGACATTTGTTCATTAGTTGACGCAGCCAAAACGTGGGCATACTGGTTCTTCCGCATTTCAGCGGCTTCGATCGTATTGGCTGTGACTCTCCCGGCAGAACTGAGCACCGGTATTCCATGCGTAGCACATGTCCCAACCAACTTGATTTGTGGAGGTCGACCACTTACTTATTCCAGTGGGCGACGGCGGTTGCCTAAAACTCTGCGCCTGACCACAACATTGCTCGTTCGCTTAACCCAGGATGTCACATTACAGCCGATGGCGATTGAGATAATTCCAACTGGTTATCAAGAAAAAAAGCAAAAAGATATCACTTACTCCGGGTCTGTGCGTATTTGTCGCTAATATGTGATCTGATTGCTTTTATGTGTCCACCGTTCGTCCCCAAATACCAAGCATATGCAACACTCTCTAGTTACGTTTGCCTGGTTTGTACACAGAATCGAAAACCATGGCCGCTCTGCTTACCGGTTTTCCATAAATAAATTCCTAACTTTTCCGGCTGTGACGAGAGCTAAAAATGGGAAATGAAGATGAATAAACTGTTCTTGCACCGTCAAAGAACGGGGTGTTTTTCTGAGAATTCTGGTAGAATTTGCCGCCGAAATCTCGGTCCGCAATGCGATTGCGTAGTAAACTTTGACGTTTTCAAGTCCATGATTGTCAAGTCTGAATCTTTTCCGAGTCAGTTCATGCAACCTGGGAGGCCGACAGCCGATGTGTTCCTCAGACAGATGAATGAACGATTTGTCAGGGGAACTGTGCGACTCTGGGGGGCATGGGATTGTCGCCAATGAAGAATATTCTGGCCACGTGGAAGCGGTGTATCCGCAAGAACCGTCACATTGAAAGAGAAGAATGAGGAATCGAATAAGCTGTGGTTTAAACGGTAACTCAACGTGCACAGTCGGCTGCTGACTTGGCTTGATATCGATCCTAATTTTGCATATGATCCAATTTTAGGTTAGTCTGATGTCCTGTAATTTTTTTTTAAACGCAGGTGAATCATTATGTGGTCGGCTGGTTTTATTCTGTTCGGTTTCAGAGAAGGATGATTATTCAAATTTAACTTGTCAGTAGTGGTGTGGGATAATTGATATTCGTTGACGGCGGATATGCACTACTGATTAGCTGTAATAAGAGCGAAACTCGAGTCTAGTGCTTCCGAGTGTATGGTTGAATCGACGAACTGAGGGTTGTACGTGAGGGCAAAGTCCGAAGGGCTGTCAGTTCAAATCAATAAAGCATGATCGTATCATGCTCGATGTCGTCTTACTAAACCCTTGAGGTGGACAGAACACTGGTCCTTTAATCTTCGGAAAAATGGTCGAATGTCATCTAAAGAGCTATCTGGTACTTACATGTAGTAGTAGCTATTATATTCACAATCAGCCGTGAGCACAATGCTTATTTCATGCCAGTGGCCGGGTAAGCAACCATTGGGCACCGTTTCCGGGTGCTTGCGTATATCGAACACTTCGAGGATTGAATCCGGTAGTAATTGTGAATCAACAGTCCGAATAGGACCCGTAATCGGTGGTCGGATTTCGTAATACGGAAACGCGAGAATCAGACCACTGATGTGAACAAACACGTAGAAAAAAAACAATCTGAATAAAATAATATCAGTGGTTTGGAATGTACCACTTAATCAACGTGTGCTTTTTTCGACTGTTGTGGGATGCCATACCCATCACCACCGAGATGTGATGAACCAAGCTAGGGAATCCTGCACGACCAAAAAATTCGCCAGGAAATCTTCCGGTTCAGGAAGAGCTGTTCACATCCCCTTTGTGGCTGCACATTTTCTGCCCATAACAGGACTCTGTTCTGTTTAGTTTCGTTGAAATAATTATCGATCGACTCTACCGTTTCACATGGTGTAAACGGGGTAGTTTAGTCGAAAGACTTGACGGTGCTTCTTCCAGTTTGTGCTTGCAAGAAGTAATTGTTGGCATCGAAATAAGATGAGATAGTCAGGAATTTCAAATACTACGCCCACTGCGGGCAAATAAATAACGTCGCCATGTTAATCGACATTTTTGGGCACCATTTTGAATAGCATGAGAGCCATGGATGAAACGGATCCCACTGAAAAACTTGGGCGTCGTGTTCATGATTATTCAGGAGATTAGCTTGTCTTAGCCATGACGAATGAAAACCAAAACATAAAGGCGTTGGTGGCAACGTTTCAACCCTCTTGGAAGGCCGTTTTCAAGTTGTTTAATCGATAAATCTCAAATTACAAGCAATTATAAGGCGATGGGATGATGACATCGTATAAAACTCGGACGTGATTCGAGCATGCATGTGTGTG